CTTCTCCAGACTAAAAAGACCCAAGTCCCTCAGCCTTTCCTCCTAAGGGAGATGCTCCAGGCCCCTCATCATCTTTGTAGCCCTTTCCTGTACCCTCTCCTGCAGTTCCTGAATGGGGGAGCCCAGAACTGGTCCCAGTGCTCCAGACTCTGCTGTCCCCTCTCCAGCAGTTCTTGAACGGGGGAACCCAGAACTGGACTCAGTGCTCCAGACAGACCCTCACCAGAGCAGAGGGGCAGGATGACCTCCCTCCACCTGCTGCTCACACTCTTCCTGATACCCCCCAGGATGCCATTGGCCTTCTTGGCCACAAGGGCCCATTGCTGGCTTGTGGTCATCCTGTTGTCCACCAGGACTCCCAGGTCTTTTTCCACAGAGATGTTCCAGCAGGTCACCCCCACCCTGCACTGGTGCACGTGGTGCACGAGCCCACAGCTTGGGCTCAGGCCAGCAGGTCACCCCCAGCCTGCACTGGTGCACATGGTGCACGAGCCCACAGCTTGGGCTCAGGCTGGGAAGACAACGAGCCCTGAGGGCTGGAGATCAGGGCCCTGCCACAGCCCACCTTGTTCGCGCAGACCACGAAGACAATGTTCTCCATGTTCCCGTGGGGGCCCAGCTCCTGCTTCATCTCAGCCAGCCAGGCGTCCAGGGCATCAAAAGACTCCTTCTGTCCCACGTCGTAGACCAGGATGACCCCCTGTGTGTCCTTGTAAAACTCATTCCTCACCTGCGGGGACAAAGGCAGGGAGCTGGCATCGGGGACAGCCCAGGTGATGTGGGTGATCACCATCTACCTGACACCTATTTGGGTCTGTGACAAAAAACCCATCTCCACACACAGAGAAGATCACAGAAAAAGGACAGATGGAGGAACACAAATAATACCCTCGCTGTGCTGCCAGAGGAGAGCGATCAGCCTGTAAAATAACTCACCTCCACACAAAAAAACCACAGCTACACGGTGGCAGACAAGGTGTCAGACCAACTGGAAGGCCTGGGAGTCATTAAGTAATTAAGAATGAGTACACATTACACTGTTAAAACAATAGTATAATGGATAAACATTTAATGTTCCTTTTGCATTACACTGTTAAAACAATAGGAGTATAATGGATAAACATTTAATGTTCCTTTCTCCTACTCGTGAGCCCACTTTATTTTTTCATTTATGATTTAAAACCAGTATTAGTGGTGAGCACAGTCACTCCTTTGTGCCAGCTCTCCAAAATGGATGTGGTAGTTTATGTGTTCAAATCCTAAAGTTTTACCCTGCCAGCTCCTTTTTGTAAATAATACTGTTTATTGTTTATACAGCAAATAATAATGGAATGGAATATTTCAGTTGGAAGGGACCTACACCATCAGCTGGTCCAACTGCAAGTGTTTTATAGCACTTTGGTCACGGATCTGGATGCCAGTATGTGACAAATGCCCGAAGGAAGCTCCAAAAATCTCCCAATCTGAGTAAATTTATCCTGAAGTTGGGCAAATTCCTCAGCACAAGGAGGCACTTTGAAATAGGGCTAGCAATGTTTGATGACAGCGAGGATTTGCAGTGCTGGCCTCCGTGACAAGAAAGAAGGTGGTGTGTTGTAGTGCAGAAAGCTCATTAAGTAATGTATTTTCAAGTTTGCCACCCCCAAACCCAATTTTGGGCAGAGCTGAGGAAAGCTGACGGGTCCCAAAGGCTTCTGAGACAGACTGGTTGAGACCAGAGCTGGGCCTGCCTTACCTCATAGAAGAACGGGTGCCCTGCCATGTCAAAGATGTTCACCTTGATCTCTCGGTCCCTGATCTGCACTCTGAAAGAGAAGTGAGAAATGCTTCAGAAGGTTCTCCCCTCATCTCTTGCACACAGAGTCCCCTCAGGAACACCCCTGATCTCTGCCAGCCCTTTGCAGAGCAAGAGCTGGGTGACTGGGGACAGAAAAATTGGTAAGAAGTTCCAAGTTTAACAGCCAGAAAATTGCCCCTAGAGCCAGTCAGACAAGGAGGAGAGCACCAGCTCTGGGTGTAACATGGTAAGGGGGAGCTGTGCTACCAGAGGAAGGCTGATTGTGCCAATTAAATTATGATTGAAGCAGAAATGCAGATTATGCCACGGAAACTAAGCAGCCTTGGATGCCAATTAACTTATTATTGAAGCAAAAAATGAAGATTATGCCACGGAAACTAAGCAGCCTTGGCAGAGCCAAGCACACCTGGTTCAGTGTGCTCACCCTGGAGCAGCTGGAGCTCCTCACCACGAAGGTACTCACTTTGTGACGCCGTAGTCAATCCCAATAGTGGCCAGGTATTTGGGAACGAACCTCTTCTCACAGTAACGCTTTATAATGCAGCTCTGGGAGAAAGGAAAAGGGAGTCTCAGCAGGAGAGCACTGCACACAGGATCACAGAATCACATGGGGTTGGAAAGGACCTCTGGAGATCATCTCCTCCAACCCCCTGCCAGAGCAGGTCCACCCAGAGCAGGTCCCACAGGAACGTGTCCAGGTGGGTTTGAATGTCTCCAGAGAAGGAGACTCCACCACCTCTCTGGGCAGCCTCTGCCAGGGCTCTGCCACCCTCACAGGAAAGAAGTTCCTCCTCATGTTGCGATGGAACTTCTTACGTCCATGTTTGTGCCCATTTCCTCTTGTCCTGTCCCTGGGCACCACTGAAAAAAGACTGGCCCCATCCTCCTTAAAGTATTTACAAGCATTGCTACTTATAAGTACACCATAATACTCACCTTACTGGGGAATTTGCCAACAGCCCCCAGCCAGCTGGATGGCTGCAGAAATAGAAAGTCTCTAAACTAATTAATTAACCCACAGCCAAAGCACCAAACTTTACCAGGAACAGTTTCCTTTCTGCAAAGAAAGGAACGCCCAGGATCCCAGGCCCGGGGTGTCAGTATGTTTGGAGACAGGAGTGCCAAGAAGCTGATTTATTCCCCTACAGAAAACATCCAGCCTGTAGGAGCTGTGGGGCTGGGCGCAGCCAGCTCCCCCAAAAGCTGTAAAAAACTTTTTAGCAGCCCGAGAAATGAATTTAGGGTCACAACAGATCCCTTCACCCCCACTTTTGCCTCCGACTGGCAGAGATACTGCTTAGGGAGAGCAGAGGAGTTGGTTGCTATCAGCTGTCGAGAGAGAAATGCCATAACAAACGTCACCTGCTGCCTCTTTGCCCACTCACTCTCTTCTGTAAGACCCCTGGGGATTTTCTTGCCACCAGTGGGGCATTTGTCTGCCTCAAGGGAGGCCTCACGCCATCAGCAGTTTAACAGAACCGCATGTATTTAGCGAACAAAAAGAGGGCAGAACTTAACAGAAGGTGGCTGGGAGAAGAAATAACACCTTGGAGAAGAGCTGGGCGCTTCACCGGAGCGGGAGGAAAGGGAAAAGCCTGACTGAAGCCAAACCTGCGAGGGGCGGGATTCCCCCGGTGCCCCCGAGGAAGGCGCCAAGAGCTGCATCCCCACGTTCTGCCCTCAGGCGCCGCGGTACCCGAGGCTGGAGCCCGGCCATGCGGTCCCCCTCGGAAGGCGGCGGACCCGGGAACGGCTGTTCACGGAAAGACCGACCACACAAAGAGGGAAAGGCTCCGAGGCTCAGCAGGTCCGTGAGGCCGCAGAGGAGGCCGCTGACAGCAGTGGGCGCCGCCATGACACCCGCCACCAGCCGGCCGCCCT